AGATACATAATACCCCCCCCCCACCCCACCACACACACACACTAAAAGGTTTCTCATCAGAGCATTCTTCAACCAACTATGAAATACAATTTATGAAAAAATGACTAAAAATATAAGTTAAAAAGCTAAATTTCTGTAAACCATGCAGAACTTTCATGGAACAGCTAACAACAAACTATTTGTGCCAATAGTAAAAAGTTTTAATGCTTCATCTTTTCTCACTATTAATGAATCTTTAGCTTGTGGACATCAACTCTAAATTAGAAGTGGAAAAATGTTTTCTTGAAAAAGGGGAAAAGCTTATAATAATGTATTCGTATGCCTTGAATAAGCCGGGGTTAGTGTTTTTGTGTCTAAGCCTTCTCTTAACGTAATAGCCAACAAACTCTTATATTTTCATATATAATATAAATGATTGTTAAAAGTTTTTAAAAAAAACCCATTAAAACAACATGGTTAAATTTCAGTTGAAGTGATAAAACCTTCAGTAATTCAAAAACGTACCTGTCACCATATATGGTGCATCGCTTTCTTTCCAACTTTGTAACACTTTTGGTTCTTTTCAAAGGGTTGTTTTTGAACGATTTCTTGGAGAAGAAATTCTGTCAAAGAAAAATTACACAAGAAGAACTGAATACTACAGAGAAGATTTCTTACTGGTCAACAAGTTATATTAAATGTTAGATTAATTTTCCTTATTTTACACGTAGAATTTAGGGGGGGAAACATTACCCTGTATAAGAAATTACTAATCACGTTAAACTGAAGTACCCATCGTAAGTTCCAAAGAAGAGTTAACATAAGGATAATTGTCCTAGCTCAAGCGTAAAGAGCAGCTAACGTTCTCGGTTGCTAATATTTATCTAAAACTAGTAAACGATAAAATTGAATGTCTCGTCTTCTTCTGAATTTAAAAGAGATTATGTTCCGGGGGGCGGGGAGAGAAAAAAACTTATTTTCTCACGTGAATAAGCTGACAGTTTTTCGAAATACCAGGTTTAAATTAATAATCAATAAGATGACTCACCTGTAATGGAAGCTTTTTAAAGACTATGTATATCCTGTATATCATGGGATGCATAATAATGCTTGTAATAAGAGTAAACATCATTACATCTTTTAATAGCTGTTTGTGTGTTTGTTTTCTTACGTGAGGTTATACTTGGTATACCATTTTCTATCCGACCGCAAGATCAATGCAACACCTATTTTTACTTGCTCTCACTAAACGTGATAAGGAAAATAAAAATCAATTTATAATTATTTGTTTGTTTATACATCCATAGCAGTATTGTGTTTGTGTCTCATGTTTCAAAGTAAATTACATGATCATATTAACTTCTAGATCAGGGGAAAACATTTCTAAACTTTTATTGTACTTAACACTGGAAATGACTACATTTAAAATAGAAAACAAAATACTGAAAATATACAATGTGATAAAAAGAACAGGCTCCGTTGTTACTGAAGTAACAAACATGATGAATAAGGTCATATCATTTACTTAAGTCGCTGACGTTTCTACTAATGCATGTTTCTCAGCTGAACGGAATATACAAGTTTGTAAAAAAACAAGATATTAAAGACTAGAAATTAAAACAAAACAGGATATTAAAATGACTTTGAGGCTGTCCTACTTTTACATCTTCGAAGAAACTGAAGCTAAACCATAAATATTAATACAAGTCATCAAATTCGGTACCGTGCCAAATTTAATTCTCTTCCCCCAAAACATCATGTATTCAGAGATAAGCATGACTGAATTTTCTACTTATTTGCAAGTATAAGATAACTTTTACAAATGAACTACGGCCGTACCTGCAATAAAATTTCATCACAAGTTACATATTCCAACATCATTGTGCTGTAATATTTAGTAATGGTCAGTTTAAACTGTTACAGTCTACTCATAAAATACTACGTAAATTACAAAACGTCCCCCCTGATTATTTTCATATTTATGTCGCAATGGACTCAATTTGAATTAACACTCCGATTTCATCCTAATTAATTGATCTTAATTTATTGTTTAGAAGGACAAGTCACGCGGTCACAAGTAATAATCTGCCCCTTATTCACTACTTGGTAGCATTTTGAATGTGTTGAATACGAAAGTGTTTTGAAGTTGTTTTACATTACATCGCTTAGAACATTAACAGTAACACAAAAATCATAATGCATTTTATATTATATTGTTTAAGACTTACAGTACAAACATTAAATGTATTAATTTATATATATATATATATATATATATAATATATTACTTAGGACATCAACAACAATAGAACTCTGTGTTATTACTGGCAGTTCACAGGAAAGTAACAGTTGTTTAGAAAAATGTGGAATCTGGTGTAATTCTACCACTACTAACAGCGTAGTAAATAACAGCCGAAGAGTTGTTGTTTGTAATTAAAATAAAGCTACACAATGGGCTATCTGTGCTCTGCCCACCATGGGTATCGAAACCCGGTTTCTAGCGTTGGAAGTTCGCAGACATACCGCTGTGCCACTGGGGGGTAGGGAGCAGCTGATGAGTACAGATACATAACTTAGTTCAACAAGTGCTGCGATTTCGCTAAATAAAGTTACGCTTGGCTAAATTAAGTGTTTGTGAGAAATGGCACTGAAACTACCGTTTGCTTGTTATTAAACATAAAGCTACACAATGAAGTATCTGTGCTCTGCCATAGCGGGTATCGAAACCCGATTTTAAGCGTTATAGCTCTCAGACTTACTGTTAAGCCACTGGGAAGGGGAGGGGTACCGAAGCGATGAGGTTCGCCGAGGCAAAAAGTCTCGTAAAAGCCCGAACATGCCTAAAATTTTCAAATTGTGAGGACGAACTTATTTCCTTGGATTTTTAACAGTTTCAAAAAGATACTTTTTGCATTTAAGTTGCGTCATAGCATCAACGTATTATCAAGGAAAGGAAACAGTGTTTAGGTATTGTTAAGAAGTTAACCGCAAAGTTGCTCAACAGTGAATAAAATTACATGTCTTTTAGGAGACTGTACTTGTAAATACGAATGTATCGACGACAGCGAAGTAACATTTCACCTAATTCGATCCCTCATAGGCTTACTACTCATTAGTGTACCCTAAATGTTATATCCTATGTTCCTGGAATTAATTTCGTAACGTTGACAGAGAAAAATCATTATCTAGTTCTTATGATATTTTGATTGTTATAAAATCCTTCCTGTAAACGGAGAGAATTACCATGTTTTAGATTTTAAAAACGTAAGATATATTTCCATGAAGCAAAAATTCTCTAACACTAAACAAGCCTGATCCGTCTTAACATGTCTTTGTAATATTTTCGTTTACTGGTAACATTTTCACTAAACTACTGGATTTACATTATTGTTTGGATCCAGCTGTCTAAACACTTAGTGATGATAAAGCAAATGTAATCTAAATGTAAGCATAAAACTTTTACGACGAATCACAATTTTGAAGTTACATAAAACAACAGTGGGCAGTTAGGCATAAGAATAAGTTCCTAATTAGGACGGCGGGAGGGGAGAAGATATCAGAAAATGTTTTACGAGTTCTTCCCAATACGATTACAAAATGGAAGTTGTACTTGTGGTGGTAGAACAGTGGTCATCCATACCTTTTACCAATTAGTTCTGACAAAAATGCTAACTTTATATATGACTGACTTGATCATTCGTTACCAAGAATCTGTTGTATCGAACATAAACAAGAGTGCTGCATTTATCAAAATAGAGAAGTTTATCTTTTAATCCCCTTAAGATATTCTCCTCATTATCGGTCAAGATACGATTTGATAGAAACATATCAAAAACGTCCATTGTTAATTAATAAGAGACATTTTGACTCTCTTTTATTCATTTATACACAAGTCTGAACAGCATCTATAACAGCTCCAAAGAGTTTGTTGGCCGGTGAAAACAAAAAACATATTTACAACATGGTCGATCCTACTTCTTTAATAAAGTTATATATTTACAACATGGTCGATCCTACTTCTTTAACAAAGCTGTACATTTAAAACATGGTCGGTCCTACTTCTTTAACAAAGCTGTACATTTAAAACATGGTCGGTCCTACTTCTTTAACAAAGTTGTACATTTACAACATGGTCGATTCTACTTCTTTAACAAAGTTGTACATTTACAACATGGTCGGTCCTATGTTGTAAATGTACAACTTTGTTAAAGAAGTAGGACCGACCATGTTGTAAATATATAACTTTGTTAAAGAAGTGGTCGATCCTACTTCTTTAACAAAGTTGTACATTTACAACATGGTCGGTCCTACTTCTTTAACAAAGTTATATATTTACAACATGGTCGATCCTACTTCTTTAACAAAGTTGTACATTTACAACATGGTCGATCCTACTTCTTTAACAAAGTTATATATTTACAACATATTCGATCCTACTTCTTTAACAAAGTTGTACATTTACAACATATTCGATCCTACTTCTTTAACAAAGTTGTACATTTACAACATATTCGATCCTACTTCTTTAACATATCAATCCTCTCTCTCTTTTATAAAAAACTGTTATAGGCAAACAGACAAATATTCTTGCAGTGCCCTATCTAATATCTTTTAGGACAGAAAGGCAACTGTTCACGATGTTTTAAGTCTGTAATATAACGATAATGCTTCTATTATTATACACAATGTTTATATAGGATTTTCTTTCAGCTATAAACTCACGACTGTACGAAAGCCAGCAGAGTAGCATCCCTTATTATAGATATTATGCTATGAAAACGAAATAGGCTATAAACCTTAAAAACGTTACGCATTTATCCAGAAAAATAGGTCGCATGCCATAAAATACGTAAAAGCGCTGAATAAATTACAGATTAATCTAATGCATTGAAGTATTAAACGCAGACATATGTCTAAGTACATATAAATCTACGTCACCATAGACTTATCATAATCATTACAGGAATACATTTTAGCCGTTGATTTCTAAAAGAACACTGCATCATGTTTGTAATAATATAGGTTGATTTAGAACGTTTTTATTACGTCTCCTCCATAGGTAGGGAGTCATTGTATTTTCTGTTCGTTTCTTCTTGTTCTTCTTTCCAACAATCACAAGGAAGGAATGGTTTCAAATGCACATCAACGAAAAGGTACACGATTCAGCTACATACGGTGCATTTGAAACCATTCCTTCACTTAAGTAAGTTGTCAACGAAAAGGTACACGATTCAGCTACATGCCAACTTACTTAAGTGAAGGAATGGTTTCAAAAGCACATCAACGAAAAGGTACACGATTCAGCTACATACGAACTTACTTAAGTGAAGGAATGGTTTGAAATGCATATCAACGAAAAGGTACACGATTCAGCTACATGCAAACTTACTTAAGTGAAGGAATGGTTTCAAAAGCACGTCAACGAAAAGGTACACGATTCGTACAGTTACAGCACTTCTTCATAAATATTACACACCAAGATATTTCTATAAAGGCTTATCTAATGTATCCACTAAAAATGTCTTGTACACGAGCATCGTAGGTTTATCCATCAAGACGATTTTCAGCACAAGTAACGCATCGTACAGGAGTAACCCAACTCACCAATCATTTTCTTATACAC